AGTCTTTACCAAAGAAGACTGTGAATCAGATTATGACTATGAACCAGTTTGATTAAAGAGCTTAAAACTCAAAGGACAAGTCAACCAAAGACTTATTTCTGGTTTTCAAGATGAAAAATAAACCAGGGGATGCAAATTCAATTAACAGGAAATGCAGGGTTGAGGCAGTTACCCCCTAATATTGTTGAAGCTGACAATCGTGGATCCATCTAGGTATGGGCATCTAGGTATCTCATTTGATAAGACCTAATTGAACCTCCTCTCATCTGCATGTATATGCCCCACATAACTTTTCCCTGGGTGGGAATATATATATCCTGCATGTATTCGGCTGCAAGTATTGATATCTACTGTAGATATTACTTGGTTGTAGAAATGTTTCTCTTTCCAAATTTGGAAAATAAGCTTTCTGTATTAATATGACAAAATACATATTCCAATATCATAGACCTGTTTTTAATAACAAAGTTAAAATAAGTGCATGTCTATCAACTCTGCATGCATACTCTGTTTTGTCTGTCATATGAAGAATGAAGGAAGACACAGGATACTTAAGAGGAATTTTAGTGCTCAGGCCTATTATTAACCTTTAATTTCCTTAGCCATTGTTTCCTCATTGCAAACTCTGATGCTTTAAGAGGAACTAAGCATTACCTCATCTCTGGTGTAAGATATTTAAAATAGCTTCTGTGATATCAGCTATTACTCATCTCATAATCTGTTTAGTGTTTATAGGGCAATACTGAATGTAATTCTAAAGGAAATATGCTGGATGAACAGACAGACAGATACACAATAGTGTAACCATTGCATACTATTCAATTTAAAAAACATACTAACCTCCATACATGTAAAAAGTATTTATAGATTTCTTAATGTGAAGAAATGACATCAGGAGTGACTAAAAATTACTGACAGCTGAAGTTGAGTGCACTTGTTTGTTGTCATCTCTCCCAGACCTTCATTATAAAGTCCGTTAAGTAACACTTTTATGATTTCTGTCATTATCAAATTGCCTTGTTCACAGAGAATGAACCAGAAAGTTCTTGATCTTGAGGGATCCTCTTCAGTCCTCCCCAGCTTCTCCCCCACCCTCGCAAAAAATGTCTCACTTCCTCCACGAGGTGGGCCATGACTTCAGTCCAGTGAAGAAACAAAGGAAGCACTGAGACCTGCGTTAGATTAATTAATGAATAATCGCTCTGAACTCTCCACACCAGCTGATAAGAGTATGGAAATTCCACCAACAAAATTCCAGCTGTGTTATGTTTGGCACACCTTTACATTGATACAACATTAAAAACAAAATTTCAATAAGGCAAGAGGAGCTCAAAGTCTCTAAAACGCTTCCTACCAATAACGTGGAAAATCACGTGGATTTAGTGAAGGGTGAAATAATGTAGCCTGATTCCAATTCACCAAAAACATTCTAAAGCAGTCCATTACCATAATTACCCTTGGCTTAAACAAGAATGCAATAGGTGAATAAAGAAGATCTACTCCATCCTGAAGACATTTCTATTATTATTAAAAGAAAAGAAGTAGAAAGGGTCAGGAAAGGAGGTTTTGTAATATTTCGATTCGGTCCACACTGCATCAGAACATAAACAATGAATCAACTATTTAGTCAGAACTACAAACATTTATTTTTTAAAACTCCAACATGTACAATTTTTAGAGCTGTCCTGTTTATGTTTTAAAAGAGTGTTAAGGAGATACAATGTACTGAAATGTAATTGAGTCTGAGGCAACCTAGGAAAGAATTGTAACTATTATTAATAAGCTAGAACCGATTACTCAGTAAAGTTATTACTAGTCTAGTTACTAATATCTATCCTGGCCACAATAGGAACAATAGGAAGATTGGAATTCGAATGTGAGAATGCACCTGTTGAAATGTTTTTTCTCTATGCAAACAGCATGTGTTACCCACAGCAAAACCATAGGAATGGTAAACCATTCATAAGTAGACACATTGTACATCATAAATTACACCTGTCTTCAAACCACATTCTTGAGCATTAGATCCACATTTCTGATTACTACAAAATCAGCATCTGTTGCTAATCACCACTAGAAAGAGTCAATTGCACACAATTACTCCAAGCTTAATATTTCGATTTATATTCTTAATGCAAACCACTACATAACCATTTGGCTTGTTCAGAGTCAAGCAGAGTTTGAAGGAATAAAGGAAACTGGGGTATAGTCTCATACAGTACCTTCTGACTGTTACATCACCACACATCTTGTGATAAGAAGTAGCACCCACTTGAAGGGGAAGTTTAAAAGTTGCCGTGTTACACACAAGCTTCTCTTGAGCACACGCCCTCTAGGGAAAGTATTACTGTTCAAAGCGATATAGAATACAGACGTTTTCTGTTATGAACTCTCTGTGAGACAGAGATGCATTGTGAGACATGGTCAGTGTGTTTGCCACTAGTCTGAAGTCACCAAAATGCTAGTGTGTTTTTGCTGAGGCAGTAAATAAATGTGTACAGTCATGTAGAGAGTCACATTCTTGTTGATGAGGAATCACACCTGGTCTGGATACTTCTGATCCTTGCAATGTACCGAGAAATGTAAAGAAAGTACAAGGCATGCACATATAAGCACAGAGAGAAGAAAGGTTATCATGAGGTGATTAGAAGCATGGAGCTGTTGTGTCTTATTCTTAATGAGAAAGCTCTGACAAATCCATGGGTCCTTTATTACTGAGCAAGTCTCCTTAGTCCAAGGCAGTCTAAGTCTTTGAGAGACCAAAGAGGCAGTTTATCTATTGCTTGCATTGAAATGTGGTGTAGAGGTGTTCATTCTTCACTGCCAGTAGATTTAAAACAAACAGCATCCCTGTGTGACTGTTTTCCCCACATTGCAAAAAACATCTGAGTCTGGAGCTCCTCAAAGGTTTATTGTTAAAGTGCTCTGACCCATGTAATGAGCTCATAACTGTTGGGCAGAAGGCATTTAACTTTCTAAACTGGAATCCGTCCCACAACTAGCTCTACCCAGCAAGCTCAGCAGAGACTAGGCCATAGTGCAGAGGCGGGTGAAATAAAATCAACAGCTGTCCCAGTGACTGTACAGAAGAGTGGTACCCCCATACAGTTCTAAGGCAATCCCCTGTCATGTGAGACTGAGATCAGAACCACGCTTTTCCTTTTTCCATTGTCCCTTGCTTTCTCTTACTCCTCTTTCTTAACTCCGATGATCACTTAGTAACTTAAAACCCACGGACTACAGTCACGCTCCAGGTTTGCAGTGAGTGGCCAGCACTCAGTCAGAGCTGCGTTGAGGGATATCAGTTTCTTACTACGTAACTAAAGCCACACAAGCCAGGCCATTTTTTTGTTTTTGTTTTAAAACTATAACGTTTTTTAAAAAATGAAACAAAAGTTGATATTTTTAAGTATAAACTGTATTAACATCGGGTTTCATCAGAAACATGAGCAGATGATTCCAAAAATATTTCATTAAATAAATGAAATATAGTAAATATCCTCTGATTCAACCCCTGTGTCGTGATGTGGTATTATGTTGAAGTCATGTGTATTACATAATTAAAAAACTCTGTTTCTAAGGTATGAAAGTGATGCATTGCCCTCTATTGTCATCTCATCCCACGCTTACCAAAACCTCTAAAATTAGACTTGGAGCGAAGCAGCATCCTTTCCATCTGGGGGCGAAAGTAAAGAATTTGGTTTCCAACTGTTTGTGAAGGGTGAAAACATCCTGTTCTTACCTCTAGGCATGTTGCTGAAAAGACCAAAACAGGCAGGTGTGCGTGTGAGTGGGTGTCGGGACTTCGTCATCTGAGTAGAGGCAGAGAAAAACTGAGACTTGTAAGCACGACCTGCGTAGAATCTTAATAGAAAAAAATCCCACAAGTAAAATGTAAAAGGAAGCTGGAGTTTCTTTATTCAAAGCATTTTTATGGTGCATGTTTTGTTTAAAAGGTCATTTCTCAGTCAAGGGTCTTGAGAAGGTCTAAAACGTTCTCCCTGTTTTTTGTACTGGGGAGGCAGTGTTTTTTTAGTAACATTAATAGCACATTTTACTGTAAAGCTGGTAAACTACAGTACTGCGGGTTCCTGAGCTTCATGTCATAAATATCTGTACCAGTAAAACTCATGAAAGCTTAAGTTCATTTGAGAAAATATTCCTAAAAACATGAACAGTTTTTACACAAACACAATAGCAGACATGCTCATGAATTGCAAAATGGTTTTGGTTTTGTGAGTAAATAGGATCAAGGGGTAATGTTAAGATTAGAAATATGTTAGGGATTAGTATTACAGTTACCAGGAACCATAATTCAGTCAAGATTGACATTACAACACCAATAACCAATTTTAAGTCCATGCTCTTATTCCAAACCATCTTCCTCAACTGCAGCACACAAATGCAATCAAGAAGCTGGTTCACATTGAGATTTGCTTTTCAAAACTGTGATCTTTACTGTAATAATATGTTGCCTCAACAAAACACGGAAGAATTAAAACATGCCCAGTGTTTTTTTTGGAATTCTGTATCCAGGACTTGTCCTAGGACAACTGCTCTGGATCTCCATTCCCCTGAAAACCTGCTGCTGTGATAGATGTCTTATTTGGGTTGCAGGGATTCTGAGAAAAAGCCCAGGGGTTTCCAGGGTTTTCTTTGGACACATTTCAGCCAGTTACCAAATCCTCCTCCTCAAACAGTGTAATTCACCTCCTGGTTTTCTCCTTAACGTTTCAGCATCTTGAAGCCAGGGGAAAAAGTCTAAATGAATGTATTTAATTTTCTTGAGGTGCGGACCTTTATAAGGAATCCAAGCATGCACAGACTGTATTCTCCCATTACAGCACTCACTCCATAGTTCTCGAATCCCTCAGAATGTCCAGTCTGTTTTTTTGTGAGTCACTCACAAATAGTTAAAATCATTACATTCTGTTTTGTTCTGTCCTGTTAGTCCGTTTGGCATTACAAGAGTTTATTTGTCCCAGATTTTCAGGAATGCAGCCTGACAGTTTTGGCGTGTTGAAGAGAGTGGAGTGGTGTCAAGCAGTATGCCCAAGTACAAACCCTTAGGAGTTTTTAAATAGTTACTGTTTCCATTCCTTTCAATTTCAGCCGTCACTTCGATAGGAAAAGGAATTTCACATAAGGGAACAGGAAGGAAGTTGAACAATATTTAGCCGTGCTTTTCAAAGAGGGAGATCATAACTCCCCATATTTAACTGGTGCTCTGAGGCCAGCAGAGATTGAAGACTGTACCTTGGGACCACTCCCTTGATGCTCAAGAAAGTGAGCTACTGTAAGTTGTCATGAATTAAGAAATAAACTGCAAAATTTAGATTGCCGGGTTTTCCAAGGTTCAGACTGAACCTTGGCACTCCCACCTTGCTAATTTAAAATGGAATCTTTCCATGCTTTTACAATTCCCCACTCATTTTAGGTAGTTATGCCCAACAAACACTTGAGCAAGACCATTCAGACATACTTTTGCCACTGTAGAATGTGATTAGCTCTTCACAGATATTTAACCATTGTTCCTTACTTGTTATCAGTAGCACTATTACAGTATGTATAGTTGCTAAATATTATAATAATACTGAACTTAAATATTGTCATGGACTAGCTTTGCCAGTACTGTATGTAACAGTATTGTGAACTTTTGCCTTGCATAACCTTTGAGACTCGACTCACACCCTGTCATTAACAGCTGTGCTGGTACCTCGTCATGGAGAACGTACAGGGGTACAGGGTGATTACTGTATAGATATAAAAGTACCTCTGATTCAACTAAACCCTGGAGAAATTAGTTCAGTTCATCATTAGTTCAGGGGCGTCAGATGCACTGACTAGAGCGCTGTAGCTCTTCTACTGTCTGTACCCCAACCCTAATTGGTTCAATTACGAGGTTAATTGGATAAATTCAAGCCTGGTATTTCTCTCTCGGGTCTGAAATAATGCTATCAACCTTATTAAATAGCTGTACTGCTTGTTTCAAAACAAGAACATTTTAAGTTGTCAGCTGTAAAACTTAAACACTTCTAAATTTTTTGGAATAAGCCTTTCAGAACTTAATAACATCCATTAAGCAATTGATTGCTAAAATTGCAACGAGAACACGGAGACATGCAGCCGTCCAAGAATGGGGTTTGACAGTGCTGTTTTCTTACCCATACTACAAATTTGCTTTCAGTGTAAATGTAAAGGGAAAAAAAAACTTTTATCGTTAAAATGTTTTACAGAAACCTTTGAATTAGACGCCTAAAGGTGATGTAACTTTATTTAGCCAAGTACTGGACACGAGGTCATTAAAGTAACTCAAAACAACCCTCGCGGATTTTCCCATTTTTGGATTAGAATATTTATTTTATATGATAGGAAAAACTCCCGTATGTTAAATATATATAAATCCACAATATTAAAAATCGACTGCAAGATGCAGGATCGTACCTGTGCACGGTGCACACCCACAATAACCATCTCTTGGCGAGCTGTGTAGTTACTTGCTCTGTGTCGGAGAGTTTGGGGTTAAGTAGGGGAATTCTGCGAAAAGCGGTAGCCAATGAGAATTCACATAAACACGCTCGGTAAGTGCATTTCATGCTGGCACAGCGAGCATTTAGTCTCAAGCTCGGAAGAAATAAAGAGGACGCCCTGAGTGAGCTAAAAGGGTAAGCTTTGACGTGTTAATGTCACCTCAATAAGTGCACACTAGGATCGCGTAATTTGAGAAAGAGCAGCGCTGGAAGGAATAACTCATTTCATAGCGGAGCTCCTTTGTTTTTCACACTTTTTCTACGCGTAATTTCTGAGGTTAACTAGTGGAGAGGGGCGTAACCATCCCTGCAAACCGAACGCTCATAGATAACTTTGTGAATTAGCCTGGCCGTTTCCCAGAGCGGTAGTTTTTAGCAGGTGAAAGCTCCTGTTCTGTGCTCCTCGGTGGGTTTTCGTAGGTCGTGCGTTCCCAGATGGTGCTGTTGTTGCGAGGCAGAAAATCTGACCGGTGACTGAATGGGACTTTCCAAGTCCTGAACGCTGGACTGGCCTGCCCCTATCCTACACAGGAGGAAAAAAAAAAAACTTTTCAGAAAAGTGGCTTTCTGCTGTTTGCAAAGGTTTACGACTTGGGCTCCACTTGTTTAAAAAAGTGGCGAAACTTTAACCTGTCGTTGGCACGCACGCTAATTACGCTTTCGTTAATGCGTTACAATATTAATGGCAACAATGTTTTTTTTCAGGTAACGTTTACTACTCCACGGAGGCACTAGTTTGCGAGATCTTTTTGCAATTAATGATTGCATTTTCAGTTAATTCGAGATCTCATTTTAAACACTCGAATGAATATAAAAATACAAGTTTTCGCTTTTAACATTTCTGTCTGATGTGATAATAAATAGTCCTTGATCGGCAGACTACCTGTGCTGATTTGTTTAGTCTTCAATACGGAGTCCACCCACCCATTATTGCAGTAAAATACTGTAAGCTGTATGACTCCAGACTTTTAAATGTTGTTGTTGTTGTTGTTGTTGTTGTTCAGGGTTATAGTGTAATGTAATTGCATGGGTATTGGGTTTGGGTTCCTTTCAGGTGAGAATGGCCCAGCACAGCTTTCTGCCCACAATCCCAGAGCAGGATGTGGTGAAGGTGGTTCTGACCCCAACCAGCTCGGGCTCCTGCCTGAAGGGCAGCTACAGCAGAACAGGGAGACAGGTGTGCATCAAGGTGTTGTCTGTCCACAGACCTGCAGAGAGGTGAGGGGGTGATGGATCGCTCTCAGTTGTTGACCCTGGTTCTGTCTGCTTTCCTGTCTGTTCTGTCCTTCCCAGCCTGTTCTTCGGCCAGAGTCGTGTGTTTCCAGGGCAGTTTGATCTTCAAACATCAATGGTACATATGCACAGCCACAAACAAATGCAGTATATGCAGAACACCTTCAAAGTAACCGCAGTTAATTTGTCAAACTTAAATGCATTACAAATGCAATGCATGCTGCAATACATTTCTCTTTTACTTCAATTTCAACGCCCCCCCGTTTATTTGAATGGAGGAAAAATATACTTCTGTTTCTCCTTTCTGCAACTACCCCAGATGGAAGATGGGTTAAGTCTGGTTCTAGATGCACCTGCAGCAGGGAAATTTTAACTTGCTGACATCAAATCCAAGTCGAGAGGAAACGTCTGAGTTGTTGAAGAGCTGTAAAGAATTTTGAAGTTTAAGTCCCAGATCGTATTGCTTCATTTAAGGACTTGCTACGTATCTGAAACAAAAACCTGCAGGGGTGATCGGCAAGGCTAAAGAAGAAGTTGTGTTAGTGGAGAAGAGAAGTCCAGATAGACTGTATATCCGGTCTGGTTTACCTACAGTAGGTGTAGTATCTCAGACCTGGAGTCTATCCAGGTTCTGCACTGTTGTTAATTTCCAGTTGAAATTAAGTAACCTGCGTAACATTAGGAAGCATTGTCATTCCTTTTAGATGAGAGGCGTTTTACGGTGGTGTTTACACTTCAGCAGAATCTCTTCCAAAGTGTGTGCAGTACAAATGTTGGTTGTGGAAATGTTTATTGTGCTGCTCTGGGGGTTTATTTGAAAAGTTGGGACATATAAGAGAAGGCAAGCTTAAAAATGTGTTAGTTCCAAGACAGTTTAGATGGATTACAGGACATGCAGTAATGGTGGCTTGGTTTGATCATTGTTTTAGTGATTTACGTTTACATCAAAATGAAACTACAGGCCATGTATCTCCTTCACACCTCTTCCCCCGCAGCACTCGCAACCCAAAATTGAATAAAAATAGTCGACTCTCGCTTGAACGTTGCGTAATTTCTCCTGCATCTTATGATTTCAAAAGGCTAAGCTGTTGTAAAAGTGAAATACGGGACTGATGATGCACATCAAGAACCTCATATAAAACTAAAAGGTTCTCAGATGGGTTTCTGTGGATTTCCTGAATGAATGAATGAATGAATGAATGAATGAAGACTCATCTTGAATGTGACCTGTGACCTGTTTCCTGTGTTCTATGGAGCATGTTTATGTAATTAGCCAGTGTTGAGGGGAAATGTTGGGTCATGTAGAGTTCTTACTCATGTCGAGAGTGTGTTTTGGTTCTTCTCTGCCACAGGGAGTGGAGTGAGCAATTTCAGGAGATTGAACAGGTGCGACGGATCAGGTCAGACCGGGTTCTGGCTCCTTTGGGAGTATACAAGACCCATCACTTCCTGGGCCTGGTGTCGGAGTGGATGAGTGGAGGGTCTCTCCACACCCTCCTTAATGAGGTAGGAGGGGAGGGTTGCGCAGTCGAAACTCATGAGTCCTCAACGTGCATCAGAATATTCTGGGTGACAAGTCGCATTGAGTCATAGTCCTCAAAATCCTCCAACTGCTAGCTACAGTTGTCATCGGTAAAAATACTCATTCTTTCTCAGTAAGATACTTTTAAAATCAAATGGACAAGATGGATAATATGATCTAATTTCTCATTTGCAACCTTTTTGCTTGATTAATTTTTATAGTACAACATCTCCACAACCAAAGATTTTTTTCCCCAATTTCTGATGTCATTTACATTTCTGACATAATCTTTCTTCTTTTTTAAAAACAAAATAGATCCACGTTTTAAATCTAAAAGTGCTGGGAAAACATCTTCACTGGGATCTCTGAGTCACTGTCCACAACTTTGCTATTTTAGCCAATTAAATCTTTGTCGTACCAAAAGGTGACTCAGGTGTTTAAGGAGATCTCCGCGGTACAGCCCAGTACTGTGCCTGAACTTCTCAAATACAGGGTTCAGTCCCTTATGTAAAGGATGTTTGTTAGAATGGGAAGTTCCAGTGCGGACCATCTTTTGAGGGGGAAGTTTGTGTTGTATTGGGGAGCGTGGGGAGGTCTCAGTAACAAAGCAAAGAAAAGTCAATCATTACACATCAAAGACACCAAAAGCAAAAAGCGGTAGTTAAAGTAGTTCTTAGGCAGAGGTAATGTGAACATATAACATTGAAAATGAAAGAACAACTGTACAATTACATTTTGGACTTTTATGTTTTTTTTCTTTTTTAAAAATCACCTCTGAGCGGAGTGTCCATTTGTTGTAAAAAAAAATACAAAACTAGATTAACATGGTTGCAAGAACTCAGCAGGGAAGGAACTGCATTAAACTCAGAGTCTGGATCTATTTCTGTAACATTAACTCAATTAACTGAGAGCAGTAATGTGGTTTTGCTGAATCTTTGGAACAGAGATTCACAAATCCAGTCGCAACTTTAAAGCAGGTCAAAACTCTGGATGTTGTCTCAATTCTGTTCCAGCGCCAGCGTTATCCTGAATTGACTGTACCTCTACTTCTCCGAATCCTGCTGGATGTTGCAGAGGGTCTGTCCCACCTGCACGGAATACCTCTTTCTCACCAGGCCCTGAAGCCTAACAATATCCTGCTGGACGCTCAGTATCGGGCAAAGGTAATCTAAAGCCTGGTTAAACCTGATGCTATTTTTATTATTCCTAGAAGGCAGAAGCAATTTGTCAATACCTTTTTAAAGAATGATTGCAGCAGCTGTCTACCCTGTAATTTAGTGGTATATAATTCCTAGAGCTCTCTATTTATTGTAGTGTAAATACAATATATTCTAAAAAGCAATATGGTGACTTGTTCCGTATACAGTATATTGCTTTTTCGTTGTGCTTGTTCTACTGGTTCCTCAGTAAGATAAAATCAATGCATTCTGATGTTGCTAGGCTGTAAAAAATGTTTAACAGAAATCGTATAAAACAGGTATGTATGCAATGCATAGCGATTTCGTTTAAAAATGCTTTTAGATAAGCGCGTATGTCTCTTTGGCCTATAGGTCTGTGACTATGGCTTGTTGCAGTGGAAAAAATGGAACTTGAAGTCCGTGCGTGATGACTGTAATGGACATTGGATTAGGGACCTGGTGTATTTGTCACCAGAAGTCCTTAGAGGGGAAACACCTGCCATAGAGGGAGATCTGTACAGGTGAGAGTTTCTGTGTTTGAACCCCTCCCCAAAGATGTGCCCTTCACAGTTTCTCCTGTTGCGATTGAGTATTTAAAAGAAAAACTGATTTCTGATTTTAATTTTAATTGTTTTCCTTAAAGGTTAACCAATGATAGTGGCTAAAAAGTATCAAATCAAATTCCAGGCTTATCAAGGTAGTTTTGTTTTTTTTTTACCGGGCAGATAAAAGGTGTATTTCTAAAGTGATAGATTTTAAATATTTAGATCTGCCTTTTTTTAAGGAAAAAAATCTTTCGCAATAGTGAAAATAGATTGCACTTCAAGCTAGTGTGTTATCAGGCAGAACAGCACCTAATTCCCCAAGATTCACAGTTCCTCTAACACTTGTTTTCCAAGTGTAAATGTCATTATGAAAGCAGAAGGTGCTGAGTTTGTCTAACCCCTTGCAGGGCACTGAAGGAAGTGGAGTCACCACTTGGTTCCAAAAATTAACTTTTTATGGCAGTCATGCGATTCACTTTCATAATGAAATCGGCATGGGAGAATGAAATGTGGTGTTTTAGAAAGATAGAATTGTTTCTTTAAGCATTCAAAATAAACTAGAGGTTAGCTCCATGCATCGTGTTAGTTCAGGGCTTTAATTTATGGATACTTTGTGAAGTTTATGTCTTCACACTAAAAGATGCAGAGAAAGAAAAATATATAGAAAAGGACTGGACAGAGCATTGTCTTTAAAGCAGCAGTGCCTAAAGAGCTGGAACAAACCGTTAAATCGTGCCAATTAAGCCAGTTCTCAGCCGATTTATTTCACTTGCTTTCAGTTGTAATGAACACCTGCAGATGAACCTGCCTTCCAGTATCGGGGCTGGACAGCCTTGATCTTGAGAGAGGGTTTAATGGTGCGGCTTATGTCTCTTTCAGCTTTGGCATGGTCATGTGGGAGACCCTCAACAGAAGACAGGCCTATGAAGGTACGTGCTCTGACGCCAGGGGTTTACTGCGTTGAGTTGTAAGGGGTAGCAGGAAGGTGTGATACTGTGGCATCTGTCATGTTGCAGTGTGGCTTCTCTTGCTCTCTTCCATTTAACAAAAAAAGACAACTTCCTCATTTCTTATTTTCCTTATTTCTCAAACTTCTGTGGAGTGAGATTGTGAACCTGTTCACTAGTCCATGTGAATAGACAGTGTTAGTGTGGAGGCCCTTTGGGTGCAGCTGTCAAACCAAAGAGCAGAGGACTATTCAGCACTTCACTAAGAAAAGCTGCTTACTGGCTCACTCAGCTTCTCAGTTCTGTTACTTCAGCAGATGAAGCTTGCAAAGGGCATTCACAATACCTCAGTACCTCATCTAGGACAGCTAATTGATTTTTTTTTTCCCCCTTTGAATGTTTATGTTGCTAGAACAGCTCTTATGTATGTAGTTTCCAACCTTTGTCTTGGTTTTTCAGGTATTGTAATTTATCATAACTAATTTACCTGATACCTGGTTAAAGTAATTAAAGAGCATGAAATAATATTTCAAAGACCCTGCAGTTCTCAAAAACCAGGGCTGGTGACCCCTTGTTAATTTGCTTCTAAGGCTGTTGTTCTAAATAAAGGGGATTTTTTAAACTTTGTGAATAGTGCTGCTAATAAAAATAACTTGGAATTACATCGCTTGCATGTTCTTGCATCATGTCAAGCCCCATCGTTTGTGCTGTATTAAGAGTGAGACTTGAATTTGGGAAACAGTCCGACTTCTGCATTTTCCACCATGTCCGGGGAGAGGGATGAGGCAGGGTGCTTTTCTCCAGCTCTCGAACCAGCTCGACAGGAGGAAGTGGTAAATGTGTGCCTCTTTTTCCCGCGCAGGTATCGGCCAGCCGCGGGCGCTTCCACTGTCTGTGCAGAGTGGCATGGGGCCTGGCATCGGAGAGGAGGCGGTGGCTGCCGGGGTGCCCCAGTGCCGGGCCCTCTCCCAGCTCATGGCCCTCTGCTGGAGCCGCGACCCTGCCTCTCGTCCCCGGGCAACAGGTACGCAGCCTCTCCAGGACTCGGACTGCCTGTGCGCCGCCCATTCCTCACGCCACGGATCACGGCACTCGGCTGGCTGGGCCAGTTCCCACAACGGCTTGATCCCACCGATACTTGAAATGATCAACAGACAGAAGAACACAAGAAGGTTTACAAACGATCCATCCAGCCCGTAGTTAGTTCTTAATTGATCTGAGGATAGAATCCAGGGTTGGCATCGGCAAGGTGGCTGGGCAGCCTGTTCTATACTCCCACAAGCCTTTGGGTAAAGAAGCATTTCGTATCCTCACTGTTGAATATGCTTCCATATAATTTCCACTTGTGCCTCTGGTTGGTGCTCCTCTGTTCATGTTGAAGAAGGCCTCTGGGTTGACTTTGTGAGTGCCTTTGAGGATTTTGAGGACTTGTTTAAGGTCTTGAATAGAGAAATTAAGAGGTTCAGTTCCTTCAGCATGCCGGTATAAGACAAGTCCCAGAATGCATCAGGTTGGCACTTTTGTGAATTGATTCCAGAGAAGCAACATCTTTTGTGGTGACTCACCAAGACCTTGCAGGTAAGTGAGGAAAGAGTACCAGTTAACAGGAATCTGGGGGAGTGGAATGAGAACAATCCAGCTTCTCTCCCCCAGCTTGGCTCTAGACAATGGCTGGATTCCAGTTACAATTGTCAGACACCACTCCCTTCTCTTTCGTCACTCCTTTTGTGTTTTCTTGTTGTTTTTTAGGAAGTATGTGATGGGAGGTTTTATGGGCTGTAGTGCCAGTGCCAGTGGAGGGCTTCTGCAGGCCTCTTGAGAGAAAGCCTGTTGGTTTCCATGAGAGATATAAGTTAGAGATATACCTGTTAGCAAGATGCAAGCATTCAGCTTTTTAAAACCAGAAAGTAAATGTAAAAATATGCTTATAATGACTTAAACATTGT